AAAAAAAAAAAAAAAAGAGTTTGAGGTTGCAGTGAGCTATGACACTATGGCACTCTACCCAGAGCAGCAAAGTGAGATTCTGTCTCAAAAAAAAAAAAAAAATTCCAGTAATAATTTAGAATAGCCTTTTTAAGGCAATAGGACAATTTCTAATGAGAATAGCATAAATCACATTTACGAGCAATATATGTAACTTCAAAAAAAGACCTAATACAGTCTGAAGAGCTCTTACATTGTCAATAATATGGCACTGCTTAGCTCTTGTCCATTCTATAATCAGCATCTTTTTTTTTTTTTTTTTGGAGACAGAGTGTCACTATGTCACCCTCGGTACAGTGCCGTGATGACACAGCTCACAGCAACCTCAAACTCCTAGGCTCAATCAATTCTCTTGCCTCAGTCTCCCAAGTAGCTGGGACCACAGGCAGCCACCACAGCACCCAGCTATTTTTTGTTGCAGTTGTCATTGTTGTTCAGCTGGTCCAGGCCAGGTTCGAACCCACCAGTCTCTGTTTATGTGGCTGGCCCAGTAACCACTGTGCTATGGGCACTGAGCCTATAATCAGCATCTTAACAACAGAACTTAGTATTTGAAAGAGGCCAATGGTTTATAACACTGGCATTCCTCATACAAAGTACCTTTTCCAGGCTGGGTGCAGTGGCTCAGATCTGTAATCATTAACACTCTGAGAGGCCAAGGTGGGTGGATTGCTTGAGCTCAGGAGTTCGAGACAAGCCTGAGTAAGAGCAATACCTTGTGTCTACTAAAAACAGAAAAAAGTAGCACGGTGTCGTGGTAGATGCCTATAGTCCCAGCTACTTTGGACATGGAAACAAGAGGATCTCGAGCCCAGGAAATTGAGGATGCTGTGAGCTTTGATGACACCACAGCACTCTACCCAGGGCGACAAAGTGAGATTCTGTCTCAACAAAAAAGAACAATTAGTACCTTTCCAGGACGAAATTCTGGGAAAAGTTCTGTGACACTTGGCAACAATTTGGTGGCATCATGCTGCATAATCCCGGCCAATGGTAGGGTCAGCTTTCCATCTTCAGATTCTGCCTGTGTTGCATCCTGAGGTCCCATCTCAGATTCTGAGTCAGAGGAACTACTGAAGTCCACTTTTTCTGAGGCCAAAGAGGAAGGGGCAATGATGGAGGGCAAGATGATGCCTTCTCCATCTTCAGACACTGTAACAAGGAAGAGAAACCCCTTTGGCATGTAACTGTGAACATATTTTTCAAATTCAGCCAACACCCACTCTAGGCTATACGCACGGCTCAATGGCAGGGGATATAGTCTCAAGCACCCAGATTACTAGTATGCAACCCAGAAAACTCATTGCAACTCATAATCTCCCACCATCCCCAACTCACCTTGTACCTGGTACCCTAGGGTTGTGATGAGAAAAAACAAACACTATTACTACATTTACTACTTTCTATAAGCGACCAATATTGTAACCAATATTGTGACCAATAGTAAAATTATATCATACTTTATACCAGTTAGGTTTTATTATGTCCAGTTAAGGACCCATAAGCTAGAAAATTTTTTCCAGCCCACACAGTAACAATGAGATTGTTTAGCACAAAACAAGATCTATGACACAAAGGTAAAAGTTGATATTTAGCCTGCAGACTAAAAAAGGAAATGGCTTAAAACTCGAGCAGGAGGACTTTAGGTTAACTTAAGCCTCGAAACACAGGAGATCAAACATGATACTCTTCCCCAATCTTCTAAATGAGGACCAGGTTATTACCATTACAGGCACAGGAATAGGTTAGATGATCAATGAAGACCTTACCAGCCTTTGAAAACTCTGAATATCTGATAATTAACGCTATATGACTTATACATTATAAGGCACTTTCCTTATTTAAACATTTAATTTAAAAGAAAGCCATTTGAACTGGTAGTTTCCAAATACCAGCAGGCAGATCGGTTGCATCAGAAATTTCTTAGAGAACTCTCTTTAAAATTACTGGGCTTGGCTCGGCGCCTATAGCTCAACCGGCTAAGGCGCCAGCCACATACACCTAAGGTGGTGGGTTCGAATCCCCAGCCCGGACCCGCCAAACAACAATGACGGCTGCAACCAAAAGATAGCCGGGCGTTGTGGCGGGCGCCTGTAGTCCCAGCTACTTGGGAGGCAGAGGCAGGAGACTCGCTTGAGCCCAGGAGTTGGAGGCTGCTGTGAGCTGTTATGCCACGGCACTCTACCCAGGGGGACAGCTTGAGGCTCTGTCTCAAAAAAAAAAAAAAAAAATTACTGGGCTCTACCCTAGATCTTCTGAATCAGACTCTCCAGGGATATTTTTTAAAGACTCAAGATGAATCTGAAGAATAGCCAGATGTGAGAACCACTGACCTAAACTACTACTACTTGAACACATGCTAAAATACTATTGCCGGGGCGGCGCCTGTGGCTCAAAGGAGTAGGGCGCCGGCCCCATATGCCAGAAGTGGCAGGTTCAAACCTAGCCCCGGCCAAAAGCTGCAAAAAAAAAAACTGTTGCCAAACTTTTTTTTAAAGACAGAGTCTCACTCTGTCCACTTGGGTTAGAATGCCCTAGTATCATAGCTCATAGCAATCTCAAACTCCTAGGCTCAATCAATTCTCTTGCCTCAGCCTCCCTAGTAGCTGGGACTACAAGTATGAACCAGCATGACTGGCTACTTTTCCAGGCCAGAGACAGGGTCTTGCTCTTGCTCTGGCTGGTCTCAAACTCCTGAGCTCAAGTAATCGACCTGCCTCAGCCTCCTAAAGAGCTAGGATTACAGGTGTGAGCCACTGTACCTGGCCTACCAAATGTTTCAAAAGTTAAAAAAAAAAGAGGAAGAAAAAAGAATGCTTTAAAAGTAAAATTTCCTTTTAATACTAAATTTTGAGACTATATGAATCATTTCTAGACATTTTATCCTTTCCTAACAGCTTTTGCTTTAATTGTCCCTTATGTATGTGTCAAAAATCTGTATTTATGAATGGAAACTTGCTCCTTAGTATAGACACTTTTTACTTACCACCAGTAATAGCATCTTGGTCCTTATCCTTCTTCACTGGTCCTGAGGGTGGAGGTGGGGGAGGCATTAACTTGCAATCAATGTCTTCACAATCAGCATCATAGTCATCTTCATCATAATCTAACAAAACCAAGAAGGTGATCTCAGTATCTAAAATGTTATATAACTGCCTTGCACCCCGGGCCACACAAAAATTTAAAGCACCAGTGCCAGATGAGATGGCTCACACCGGTAATCCTTGCACTCTGAGGCCGAGGCAGGTGGATTGCCTGAGCTTACCAGTTGAGACCAGCCTGAGCCAGAGGGAGACCTCATCTCTAAAAAAAATAGCCAGGTGTTGTGGTGGGCACCTACAGTCCCAGCTACTTGGGAGGCTGAGGCAAGAGAATCTCTCAAGCCCAAAAGTTTGAGATTGCTGTGAGCTGTGAAGCCACAGCACTCTACTGAGGGCAACTCTGTCTCAAAAAAAGAAGAAAAACGTAAAGCACCACACATATATCCCTTAAGAATACACAAGAGACTTTTCTGCACCACTCAGAGAGGGCCCATACGGCGTTGTTCTGGATTTCCACCATAACTTAAAGGGAAATTTTCACAATGCCCAGAGCCCTTGATGTCCTGCAAATGAAGGAGGATGTCCTCAAAATCCTTGCAGCAGGAACTCACTTAGGTGGCACCAACCTTCCAAATGAAACAGTACATCTACAAAAGGAAAAGTGATGGCATCTACATCATAACTCTGAAGAGGACCTGGGAAAAACTTCTGTTGGCAGCTCGGGCCATTGTTGCCATTGAAAACCCTGCTGATGTCAGTGTCATATCTTCTAGGAATACTGGCCAGCAAGCTGTGCTGAAGTTTGCTGCTGCCACTGTAGCCACTCCTATGGTTGGCCGCTTCACTCCCAGAATCTTCACTAACCAGATTTAGGCAGCCTTCCAGGAGCCTCATCTTCTTTTTTTTTTTGAGACAGAGCCTCAAGCTGTCCCCCTGGGTAGAGGGCCGTGGCATCACAGCTCACAGCAACCTCCAACTCCTGGGTTCAAGCGA